TGCCTCTTGTCAAAGTAGAAAACAACCCAATAAGCCAAGAATTATTAGCCATTTTCATAATCTCTGTCTCATCTTTGAAAAACACCAAAATGCACATCTCTGGTATCAACCTCTATAATACGAATCACCACCATTCTTCCTACGGTCACCTCCTGAAGCCAATCTCTTCAGTCTTAAACTGGCCGGTAGCTGCTCTCATTTAGCCCTTCGTCTCCCTACCACCCCAAAGGGCACACAGCCATCAGGCTCTGCTTCCTGCTCCAAATGTAAGGTGGTTCACAATTGGCTTTGTATCAAGTCCAGAGAGCCTGATAATCAAAGCCACACAGTCTGGTCCCCGGCTCAACTCACAAATGACTGCAGTCATCGTTCAATTCCTGAGCAGAGCAGCCATCTGGCCTTGACACGCTTTCTTGGGTCTCTCCTGATGCTTGGCATGCCTCCAGGGCATCACAACTCTACCCATCCTTCAAGTCCTGCTCCTTTGGGAAGACTTCTCTGACTCCCTGCTCCCCCTTGCCCACACTGACTTTCCATTCTGTTAGAGGCAGGACCCCCACCCCCACCCCTTTTTAATTCCATATTTGTCTAATTGTTGCCTACGAAATTCCTGTGTGCATATCTTGTCCTCTCACACTGAGCTCCTTAAAGGCAGAGACTCCTTCAAAGACCCTTAGAGGCTCCTTTAGCTCCTTAGACCACAGACTCCTTAGTCTAAGGCAGTGGTTCTCAGCCTTCCTAACGCAGCGAGCGACTCTTTAATACAGTTCCTCATGTTGTGGGAGGACTGCTGGGCCTACACAGTGAAGATGTGCAGTGTCTTCCGTCTGCAACTGGGAATTCCTGTCTCAACAACAAGCCATTGCCAACACGGTTTGAGGATCTAACACAGCAGAGAAGGTGTTGGGTTTGGTGTGGATAAGTGCCCAGGCCAAAGTTGCCCTGGAGACTGCTGGGATTTGAGGGGACTGAGGTATGGGGGAATTGAGCCACACTTAAGGGAGTGAGCCTGGGTGGGGTTGCTCACCCAACAGATATAACAGCTGGAAGGCGGTGAGCCAGGCCTCTGGGATGGCTGCAGCCTGGGACAGTGACAGGCCCTCCGGGATGGGCATGAGGAGCCCCTCAGGGACAGTGACATACTGAGCCTGGCCCCCGCCGGGCAGCAGAGCCATGGCCGAGTCTCCAGGCTTCCAGTGCCCCTGGCAGCCAGGTCCCAGCTCGGCCACATGTCCGGATGCCTCCAGTCCCAAAATGTTGCTGGCTCCTGGAGGTGGGGCATACTGGCCTCGTCTCTGCAGAGAAAGGAACACACCTGTAATGGTGACCGTGGTCTGAAATGTGCCTGTCACCATCCCTGACTCTTGGTCCAAATCCCCTCATTTTCTCAAATGGTGCAGTCGGCCAGGAAAAGGGAGAGGGGAGGAAACTTTATGCAAAGAGGAGGTTCTAGTTGGATGTCATAAGTGGTAGGACCTTTAGCTATCTATGTAATGTCAACCCCTTATTTTACAAATAAAGAAACTGAAGTTGCGGCAGGGACCTGCCCTGCCTAAGGTCACAAAGTATATTAATAGCAGGACTAGGAACAAAACCCTGGGCATAAGCAGAGTTCTTGTAAGAATTCTCACTACCCTCTAGTTGATGACAAATCAGGAAAGTGCCGGCTTGCTGTTAGCAGCCACTGCACAATCAGGGCTCCTCCCTTCAGAGCAGCCACCTTATGTATCAGGAGCCAGGTTGTGCAAAAACGAATCCCATCTCTCAGAGCCTCATACCCTCTAGAGCAGCGGTTGTCAACCTTCCTCATGCCACGACCCTTTCATACAGTTCCTCATGTTGAGGTGACCACCCCCAACCATAAACTTATTTTTGTTGTTACTTCATCACTGCAATTTTGCTACTGCTATGAATCGGGTGACCCCTGTGAAACGGTCGTTCGACTCCCCCACAAAGGAGTCGTGACCCACAGGTTGAGAACCACGAGTCTAGAGGCTAGCGGCTTTAGATCAGTGTGCATGGTAATCATTTGAAAAGCTTTTTCCAAGTACCCTTGCTCTGGTCATGTTTATTTTGGGAAAAGGACCCAGGTGATTCGGATGCACACGTCTGAATGACCCCATCAAACTTGCATCAAACAGCAGGTGGGAGCAGTGCATATTTTGGAGCCCCCACAATCTTGGCTTGATCACTGCTACCCTGATGAGTAGTGTAGCGGTCTTGCTTGTTTTGTTTCTGTTTCTGTAAAATGCAAACAGTGAACAGAGTTGCTGTGAGGATGACATGCCTAAGGGTGCGTAGGAGGCACCCTGGTGGCACAGTGGGTTAAGCGCTGTGCTGCTAACCAGGAGGTCAGCCACCAGAACACACCTGCTTCCCAGAGAGAAAGAAGAGGCTGTCCGCTCCCTTAAAGGTGTGTGATCTTGGGTGGCTGCAGATGCACTTAC